CTTCCTACCAGTGCTGGGTTCCATTGTGGAAGACTCCAAGTCCTCTGCTTTCCTTCTTGCCTTCTCCACAGCAGATAAAAATCTTACTCTTCTTTTATTGTGTAACAACATATCAGATGTTGGGTATTGGAGGAAGGCATTTTCCTTTCTAATAATGCACTTCCAGTGGCTGAGATTGTGGACATTGACTTGGAGGTCAGAAATTAGGGGCTCTGTCAAGTACTGGAATTCACAATGTGAGCCTGGTACTGGGCTTCAAACTGAAGCATGAACATAATTTTCTTTTTGCTGGACACTTGCTTTGGCTTGGAGACAGTGTTCAGATCCCAAAGACTGTCGAATCAGTGGAGGAAAGCAAGAGACTGACATAGTCTGAGGGTGAAACTGTATAACTGCCAGCATTATTTATTGAAAAAGGAACACACATTTTGTGCTCAATAGTTCACCCACAGGCAAGACTGAAAACAGACTCAATGATTCAGGAACAGAAAGCAGCAATTAACTTCATTATAGCATTTTCCCTGAGACAAAAGTGATAATTTCAGGAAGTATCAAAATACCTATTGTTCTCTAAGGTTCAGTAACTCCCACCAACGGCCCTCCTACATCGATAGAAGGACCACAAATTCCTCCTGCCTGAAATAAGGAGAATGACTGCTTTTAGCACAGGAACTTTCCTCAAGCCCCTGAGGGAATGGAGGCCCTTATCTAAATGTGTGGCCTTGAGAAAAGAACTTCTGAGGACCGGACACTATACTACAATTTAAGAGCAAGTTTCATTCCTCAAGGGCCATTATGCAGCATTTGTGCTGAGCTGTTCCCTAATTGCATCCCCTTGTATCTTAGTCTTACTCTATGGGCCAGTTCCCCTCATAAGCTCCCCAAAGGGAAGGTCCTGATGTCTTACTATTTTCTCATTATACAGGACCATTCTGATTCCTCTATACTTATTAACTGAACTTTTGTCCTTAATAAGCTTGGATTCTGGATCTGGATTGCAAGCATTTCATACTTGGTGTCAGGTGTGTCCAGTTAGCTTTCTTGTTCTTGTTGTAATCAAGAGGTCACAATGGTACTTCCGTGGGTAGAGTCATCAGGACATATGGTTCCATGTGGCATGGAGTTTTTACAGAGAATTAACTTTGTTTAAAGAAGCTTCCTTTTTATACATTTTCATCCTCCAAAGCCCACACAAAATTTCTGAAAGGAGAGGGTATAAAGAACCTATCATAACATATAGTGAGAATCATTAAAAATGAAAGTTAAACAGTGCTGGAGAATTGTGGTCTGCAATGTTGAAATGCTGGAACTTTGTCAAGCATTAATGGTCACACTGCAGTCAACTCTATCTTGCTCTTCCCCCAAGGTGGAGGTATCTCTCTCCACACTATGCTTCTGGAAGTTTATGGAGTGAAATATAGGTAACTTTCTTATTCTGTCTACGTCAATATGCCCTATACTTTGATCATAATATAAATAGGTACCCAAGCCTTCCATTTTCTTTACTTGGCAATTATGACTTTGTGTTGCTAAGTGAGGAAATAATCAACCAAGGCTGAACTTACCCTAGACTACGACCTACTTCTGGTTTAGACTAATTTCACATGCATATTGAAAACTCTAACACGGTTAGTAAAGGAGCATTTAAAAGTAGTTCAGTGGATATGACAAGACAGCATAAAATCTGGAGTGATATAAAATATTCATGTAAACCAGAGAACAAGAGGTTGGAATGCAAAAGAACAAAATACTCGATGGGGCTCCTAGTAAAATTCACTATGTGTGCCGGGCGGTGGTGGCGCACGCCTTTAATCCCAGCACTCGGGAGGCAGAGGCAGGCGGATCTCTGTGAGTTCGAGGCTGGGCTGGACCTATAGCCTCCAAAATAATACAGAGAAACCCTGTCTCGTAAAAACCAAAAAAAAAAAATTCACTATGTGTGAGGACTTGTGCTTGAAACCAAGGACTGCCATAATAAGTGAAAGTTATAGAACAGCAGACATATCTGGATTTGTTAGAAATTAACCCATCTAACTAACAAGCACTTAAATATACATGATCTAATATGACAATTCAAACACAGAGACACTTGTGGTACATTCTAACAAAAAGACCCAACTTTACTCTATCAGCAGATTCCCACATTAGAAATTAGAAAAATACATATCTAATTAAAATAAAGTAAAGGACTAATTAAAAGAAAGTTTTATATGTTTATTGAAGCCTTATTCATAGCATTCAAGGCATGGAAGCAACCCAGACATTCAACAATGGAGGAATGTATCTAGAAACTGTTACAGTCATATACAGAACATGATTACTTAATTATTGAAAAGGAGATCATGCCATTGGCTTCAGTATTGGTGGCCTTAAAGCACATTTTGAAGTTAAATACAGAAAGAAATATATCACACTACACAATCTCATATGTTTTATCAAGAGTCAAAATATGGAGGCAAACAATGTGATAGTGGTCACCATACTTTTCAGAAAGGTTTTGAATATGGTAAGGTACTGGGCAAAATATGAAGTTCTTAACATGTAAGATGAAATAAAATTACGATATAACATGAGATCTCTATATAATAACAGTGAAATTACATTGGGGAGTTTTCTAAACAGGCACTTCTAATACATGGAGGAAAAATTGAATATTTACATAAAATTATGTCTATTACTTTATTCAGTTATAGCAACCATTTTATCACATACATCACAAAACATTATGTTATACTCTTTCGATTTGCAAATTAAAGAGTTTTAAGTCTTTTTTAAAAAATTTATCTGTATGAGCATGTGGCTGTAGGTGAGTATTCATTGGTGCCTGTGGGTACCTGCAGAGTCTAGAAGAGGGTTGTGGTCCTCTGGAGCTAGAGTTACAGGTAGTTCGGAGCTGCCACACATTGGTTTTAGGAGCCAAACTCCAATCTTCTGCAAGGGCAGCGAGTGTTCCCAACCATTAAGCCATCTCTCCAGGCCCACCTAAGCTTTATATTTTAAAAGAACAATACAGATCTCTGAGTCAAGGAGAAGTGATCAGAAAGGTCAAAGGACCTCACAGAGGCATGAAGAAACTAGCTCAATGGAGTTTATAGTCATACAGCCATGGTCATTCAAGCTCATTTGTTGAATTATTTTCTTAGAGCTGTGCATGTTGTGTCTCATCTATCTATCTATCTATAGAAACAATCTTATTTCACATATCAATCCCAGTTCCTTCTCCTTCCCATTCTCCCATGTCCCCAACAACACCCCATCCCACCCTCCATCCACTCCTCAGGAAGGATGAGGCCTTCCAAGGGGGATCATCAAAGTCTGTCACATCATTTTGCGTAAATATCCAGAGATCCACAAGGATGACCCCAACTAACAATCTAAGCAATAGTGGAGAGGCTCCCTTAAATACCCTTCCCCTATGAGATTGATGACTACCTTAATTACCATCCTAGAGTCTTCGTCCAGTAGCTAATGTAAGCAGAAGCAGATACCCACAGCTAAGCACTGAGCTGTACTTCTGGAATCCAGTTGTGGAGAAGGAAGAGGGATGAGGAAAGGGGTCAAGACCATGCTGGAGAAACCCACAAAAAATAATGACCTGAGGGATACTCTCTTAGCCCAGATACATGGGGAAGGGCATGTTGTATCTCTTAATTGAACTTTAGTTGAAATTATAAAATACTACAGCATTTAAAATTGATACATCATTCTATAAAATATGTAATTAATGTAAGTCTAATAAATTCTATGAATTCCAGAAATGAATGTGAATGTATTACAGAAATAAAAATTCAATTGCAAGAGAAAAGAAACTAGTGACATCATTTAAAATGTGCCATGAGGAATTAGTGAAATAATCAGGACCAGGGGAAAGGAGAGGAAACATGTCTTCGGGATATTAACCAAGGTGTTGTATAGGAAGCAACGTGAAAACCGTCTATCTCAAACTTTGCGTATACTTGGATAATGGACTTTTAAATGACCTGGAATGTTTAAATTATCAGAGTTTTTAAGGAGCATGAGACATTTAAAGTTGGGATACATTGTATTATATAAATATCCTATTCTGAGGACAAAGAAAGGAATGGCTGTGGTTTAATAGTGATTAATAGTGATATACTTGTCAAATTAAAGAGATTGGAGTGTTCTGGTGAGCTTCATTATCAAACTTAACACAGTTTAAAGTAGCATGGGAAGAGAAATCACAACTGAGGAATTCTCTAGATCAACTTGGCCTATGAGCATGACTTTGGGGAATTATCTTCAACCTAAGTTAATAGAAGCTGGCATAGTCCACTGTGGGTAGCACCAAAAAAACTAACTAATCAGGACCTCTACTCAGTCCAGAGAGTGAGCCAGTAAGCAGCGTTCTCTGTAGTTACTGCTTCAGGTCCTGCCTGACTTTCCTCAGTGATGGACTATGAAGTGAAAACATAAGATATAGACACTGTTTTCTCTCCTCAGTTGTTTGAGGTCAAAATGTTTTCTCAGGCAACAGAAAAGGAAACTAGAACATTGTCCAAATTACATAAGAAATATTAATCAAGTTACATAAATATTCTAAAACACATAAAAATGAAAGGAGATTTCAAAAGTGGGCCAATTAAATTCTTTAAAGTCTAAACAAAATATGTAAAAATGAGAACTGGTACAAAATACAACATTCTACTAATCACTATCAAGTACAGTAATAAAAGAAAAGCCGTGATTTCCTTCATTGCCTTCTGCTTGAAGGAGTTTGTCGAAAGTGTGAGCAGTCTTGTATCCATAGTGATTACAATGGGTCATGTTGAGGCAATGAAGACTTAATAAGGCAATTTCAGGAAAGTTCCAGGCAGTATTTGTATAACAAGTCCTGTATCACTCAACTTCCACAGGAATAGTTAATTCCCATCTGAAGTAACCTCGGGACATCAACTCAACAAAGCTGTGGAAATGAATGCCCCACACAGGTAAGGGCAAAGTTGTCCCTTGTCTCATCAAAGCAGCTCTGAACTGTTGCACTAGAGTGTGTTCAGTTCTCTGTCCTCTCCTGATGAACCCCTCTCTCCACCTTCTTCCTCCTCTGGAGTGTTGAACACGGCTCTATGCAGTATCATCTTGAGAGTCCCACATTTGAATCGGCAGTGACTAATGGATCCAATAAATAAGCAAATGATGGGGTTGGCACAGCTGTTAATACAGGACAGGAGCGTTATCACGGGAAAATAATAACAAGGGATAATATCGTAAAAATCCCTAATCCATTGTAAGAGGAAAACACTAATCCCAAATTGAAAGCCACAGAGCAGGAAAACCACCACTGTGACCACAATGGTCACATACAGCTTGGTCACAGGAATCTGCTGCGAACCACAGAAGATCCTGACCAGCAAGGCTTGATTAGACCGAAAGAGAACCAAAAATAAAACAAGCAACCATGCAAAAATGACAAATTCAACTTTCCGACACTGATCAAAGTCAAAACTATTAAACAGAGATCTACAACTCTGCCCTTCCAGGAAGCTCAACAGCAGGGACAAAGCCCATAGCAGAGTACAAATGACAGCTGATGTGTGTTTTGGACGTCTACACTGATACCAAAGGGGCCAAATGGCAGACATCCAGTGCTCAGCGCTAATGGCTGTGAGCATGCTCACACCTGCAAGGTAAGCAAGGGTGGGCACAGTGAACAAAAAAAAAGTGGGATGTGGAAGGAGATAGAGTGGAAGAAGAAAAGGACTGCCTTTAGGAAAAACAGGATGTGAGAGCAGAGGAAGAGAAAATTCGCCCCAGACAGATTGAGGATGTAGACAGAGAAGGCATCCCTACGCATACGGAAGCCCAGAAGCCACAGCACTGTAGCGTTTCCTGCCAGCCCAACCAGGGCAATAATAAAGGAAAGCAGCATAGTGGTTCGGGATATGATGTCACAAAACGAAGCTTCAGAGTGGTTGCCTGCATGCTGTGCTCTGTCAGCCTCCCAGGCTGGGGTGCTTGAATCCATGCTTGGGAGCTCTCCACTAGTGTCCCTAGAAAGAAAAACAAGACATGAGCACATTCCATGCACTCTCTGAATCTCAGGGCCACCCTGCTATGTGGAATGAATGCCTTGTTCATAAAGAGGGGAAACAGGATTGAGGATAGAAAACAATTTATCAAAACCAGTATTTCTGGAACCTTTTTTAAATCCAGCTTGTATTTATTTGGGCATGACATGTACTGTTACAAGAGTAGTTGATACTCTAGTGTAGACATACATGCAGTGTCTCAGTCTGTGACAAGAAGAAACCAGATGTTGAACCTGTGGTGGTTTTAATTAGAATGGTCCTCATAGACTCATAGATTGGAAGTGTGGCCACCAGTTGGTGGGACTGTTTTGGAAAGGGTAAGGAGCCTACACCAGCCCCACTTTCCTTCTCTGTTTCTGCTTGTAACTTTTAGATAAGATCCAAGCTCTAAGATACTGCTCCAGAACCATGCCCAGCTGCTTAGCTCCCATCCATGATGGCCATGAATTTATCCTCTGTAACTGTAAGCAAGGCCCCAATTACATGCTTTCCTTTATAAGTTTCCTTTGTCACAGTGTCTCATCTCAGCAATAGAACAATAACTAAGACAGACCCCCAAGTTCTCTCTGTCCTGAGGCTAATTCATCTCTGCTGCAGGAACTTGGAAACCAGAACCATGTCAGATTGATGCTCTTAGTTTTGGAGGGGGTGATAGGAGGCTATCAAGTGGGGAAACATGGAGATAATGAACGAGAGACATGAAGGGAATGCCAAGTCTTATTATGACCAGTATGAAAAAAAACAGACCTATAGGCTAATGTGACCCATTCTCCATTTCATATTTGAAACTAGAAAACAAAATAGCAATTTTCTGACATCTGTTGTTATATCGTAAGTGTCCATCTCTCTACAGGTATATAATGAGTAGATGACAACTTTCACTAGATGAATAAAAGAATTGTAAATCCAAGATTATCTTTTAAATTTAGCGTAAATGTTCTTCAAATGTTTTAGAGCAAATTTAGTAGCATAAAACACACAGAAAACTAGAAACAATCACTGCCAATGATTCTGTCAGTCCTTTTAGTAAACGCTATAGATTGAATCCAGAAAAAAATGATTTTCTGAAATAGAGCAGGGATTTTCCTTGATCAACAGAAAGATATAGACACTAAAACAGATAGGCATTGCAAATGGACCTGAATAGACAAGAACTCATCGATCAAACTGAAGTGACAAATTTCAGGAGCAAATGACACATAAAGAATTCTGAAACTTGTCACTACAGATTCAAAGTCGTCCATTTCAAAGCATCCTTTCTCTTCCTTCCCCATTCACATACATATGAAACCAAACACCTGAGAGAGGCACAAATGAACCCTTTTCCAAGGAGCCCATCATCTCCTAACTTGACCCAAGTTACTGAATTGACTACTAAGACATAAACCATCTGTTTTTGCTGACTTCTTCCAATCTCCATATTTTACTTGAAATTCTAAAGTCCAACTCACTGGCCACTTTCCATCCACTAGTTCTCACCACTCATCTCTTCTTGCCCACTAGGGAAATGTTCTTTTGATACTTGTGGTCATATGTCCAAAGGATACTCAATCATCAAGGGCACTTGCTCAACAACATTCATAGTAGCATTATTCATAATATCCAGAACCTGTAAACTACCTACATACCCCTCAACTAAAGAATGAATAAAGAAAATATGGTACATTTACACAGCAGAGTATCACTCAGCTGCAAAAAAAGCAATGACATCATGAAAATTTGAGGCAAATGGATGGAACTAGAAAAAATCATCCTGAGTGAGGTAACTCAGACCCAGGAAGACAAACATTGTATGTACTCATTCATAAGTGGATATTATATATAAAGCAAAGGATAACCAGACTAAAGTCCACAGCTCCAGAGAAGCTAGGTAACAATGAGAACCCTAACAGGGACACGTTGATTGCCCTGAGAAGTGAAATTTGATGAGATTTCCCAGGTAAACTGGGGTCAGTAAAGGGGAGGGGATAGGAGATAAGAACATGAGGGAACAGGATGGTTGAAAGGGGTGGAATGAGGAGAGAGAGAGAGAGAGAGAGAGAGAGAGAGAGAGAGAGAGAGAGAGAGAGAGAGAGAGAGAGAGAGAGAGAGAGAGAGAGAGAGAGAGCACACAAGACAAGGAAAGAGATACCTTGATAGAGATAAACACTGTAGCATCAAGGAGAAACCTGGTGCTAGGGAATCCCCAAGAATCCACAAGGATGACTGCAGCTAAGATTCCCAGCAATAGTGGAGTGGGTGCCTGAACTGGCTTTCCCCTGTAATCAGATTAGTGAATACCCCGACTGTCATCATAGAGCCTTCATTCCATAACCAATGAAACCAGATCCAGATACACACCAAGCACCAGGCCAACCTCCAGGAATCCAGTCAAAGGAGAGGTCAAAATCATGATGGAGAAATCTAAAGAGACAGATGAACTAAGCTCTGGACCAACAGCTGTGGAGCCTCTATGGGACCAAACTAGGCCCTCCTTATGTGGAAGACAGTTGTGAAGCCTTGGCTATCTGAGTACTACTATCTGGTAGTAGGACAGTATCTATTCCTGGTGCATGAGTTAGCTTGTTGAATGGAATCAATTCCCTATGAGGGAATGACATGCTCAGCCTTAATGCAGGAAGGGTTTGGTCATGCCCCAACTTAATGTGCCAGACTTTGTCAACTCCCCCTGGGAGCCCTTACCGGTTGAGAGGAGTAGATTGGGGTAGCCTAGGGAGCAGGTAAGGGAGGAGAGGAGGGGTGGGAGGGAGAACTTTGGGTGAAATGTAAAATGAAATAAAAAATAAATAATAAATAAAATGTTCTTTTAATCTCTTTGACTGCCGGAACCTGCTATGCCTTCCTGGGCATCCATCATGCAGGAAGGCCCTTCCTCTCATTGACTCACTGGATTCTGCTGTACCCTTCTCTACTGTGATTTGGAGCCTCTCTCTGCTAAGGCACTTATCTGTCTCCCACTATTGGGATCCTCCTTCTGATGGAGTTCCTGTTTGCAGCCTTGTTCTCTAAGCCTCTCTCATCTTCCTATTCCCTCTTCTTTTGAAAGATGTAGTCTTTCCTGCTTGCTCTATCTCTCAGCTCACTCCGGAAGTACTATGGGTTAGCCCTGATGGTTAACAGATTCCAGAGAGAATGCAAGGAGTAGGCAAAGGAGGATTGAGCCAAGCCATGGTGGTCACGAAAAACTTGCAGCCTGACTGGCTGACTAGCAGTAAGAATACTTCTTTATTTACACCAGAATACAGTAAGCAGGGATGGATTCATGTTGTTCCAAATCATAGGTCATATAATTTCTATTTCTGGACATGTATTAGCTTTCTCTTGAATTATCTTTTAGTCATTGGTAAGCCATGACAGAAAAGTTATCTGTTTGTTGTTGTTGTTGTTCTGAGCCTAGCCTTTAATGGCTGAGCCATCTCTACAGCCCTAAGAGCAGTTATCGTTTACAATCATTTTTACTCATCAATCCCATAACCCAACTTTTAGGAATCCAGAGACATATGAAAGCTTATTTTCAGGCTGGCAGATCATGCATCTGCAAGAATGCTAGATAGAAAGAAAATCTCCAAGCTAGTCAGCGCAGCTTGCCAAGTGCTGAGCAGTGTGTTATTAGTGGTCAGTATGCCCAAGAAAAATCCTCAGGCCAAAGCTAAAGTTCTCATTCAATTTATATTACAAAATAATGTTTACATTTATAGCTTTATAGAATTTGTTTTATATGTCTAATCTGGCATTCTTCTGCTCCTTTGTCATACAACATCACAATAGCCCTGCATGAATTAAATTTCATAAGAAAAGGGAGGTCCTGATCCCACATTCCTTTATCATTTTCCATACCACTTTCTGTCCATCAATAAAGAACCCTGTGTATGGGAGAGATAATCCTGGCTAATCTAACTTTGTTGCTATGTATTTTCCTCTAGGGTACCACATGTAGTCCTCAATCTTATCTGCCACATAATTGCCCGAGTGTATAGTGTGAAGAGACTTGTAATATGATCTGCTGCCCACACTTCTAGCCATCTTGTTGACCATTTAAAGTTTACTTTGGTTTAATTATCTTGTTCCTGAATAAGTACAGAGACATCTCAGAGCCTCATACAGTGAAACCTCCAAGGTATAACGAAGACTTTCAAGTAGATAAGGATGTCTCATTAAAAACAGGAGGGTAGTATGCTCAGGACTTTCCTGGCAAAGCTTGGGGCCATTACTCCTAGAAGAAGGTATAAATGATTCATAAGAAATTCTGTCAATCAAATATCCCCAAAATGTACAAATATTAAAGGCTCCCAAATATGCAACACAGAGAGATATGAACCAAAAGTTTCATGGCTACTATCATGTGGCTCAACTTTGCTGGCTCTTTGTTAAGCAATTGTGTTGGCTTTATGACTTTTGCCCCTCCCATAAGATATGACTGCGGCACTAGAGCTTACTCCACCATGGAGTGTAGGCTCTAACAAACTAGCTCATGCACCAGGTTTGTATTGAGGTCCTGCTGGCAAGGGCCCCTCTGCTTGTCCAAACTTCACAACTATCTCCCACATATGAAGGGCCTATCACAGTCCCCTGATGTCTCCGCAGTTGTAGGTCTAGAGTCCATGAGTTTCCACAAGCTTGGTTTGCTTTCCCAGTAGATTTCTCCACCATGAACTTGAGTTTCCTTGATCATATGTTTCTTCCACCCTCTCTTTACCCGCATTCCTGGAGCTCAGACTGTTTCTTAGCTGTGGATCTCTGCATCTGGTTCCATAAATTACTGGATGAGGACTCTATGATGATAGTTGGGGTATTCATCGATCTGACTAAAGGGGTAGAATAGTTCAGGAATCCTCTCTACTATTGCTAGGAGTCTTAGTTGGGGTCCTACTTGTGGATTCTTGGGATTTGCCCTAGCACCAGGTTTCTCCATAAGCCAATGAATGTCTCTCTCTAT